AACCTGCTGAAGCACTGTGAGAGAAACAATGAACACCGGAAGGAAGAAATCCGGTAGACATAACTTCTGGATTTCCAAATAGCTCTTGGCAAGGTCTGAACCTAAAGGCTATTGGAGAAGCTGTGTCTACTGGATTGGAGGAAAGGCCATCTTAATGGACTGAAAGCTGGTTAAAGGAGAGGAAACAAAGCGCTGTGCTGGACAGCTGCTGCTCAGGACACAAAAGGTTCACTGGTGGAGTGCCTGAGGGTTTGGTGCGGGACTGGTGTTATTCAACATGTCCATCTGTGACCTGAAAAAGGTAGCGAACACTGAAATCTCCAGGTCTGCAGGTGACACTGTGCTGTTTTGAGCTGCCAGATACCACCATGGTGGTGGGAAACTTCAAAAGGAGTCATGAAAACTGGACAAAAAGATGTCATGAGCTTCGGCACACACAATGAGTCTATGGAAAAACAACTTAAACCACGTACACATAACACTGAACTCAGAAACAGTAACTCAGGAAAGTTCCTAGAGACTGCCACATGTTCTCTGAAAACACGGGCTCCACATGCAGGAAGCGAAAAAAAAAAAGTCAACAAAGTTTTGAGCATCATCAGACAGGGTACTGACACCAAGGCAGACAGAATCATCCACATCTCCAGGACTGTCTAGTTCTCTGCTCCCAAAAAGGCAGAGCAGAAGGGGACCCAGAAACTGTGCCGAGGACTGTGTGAGGACGATGGTGGTATGCCACCGCATAAGGTCCCCAGCACCAGTCGGAGTATCCCTGGTGCTTCAGAGGAAGGACGTCGCTTTCAGGGTCTTGGGCTACAGGGAGCGCCTGGGACCTCTCCCTGAGGCTGGTGGTGGCCTCACCAGTGCACGGTGTGCTCTAATCAAGGTGCTGACCAGGCAGGTGAAGAAGCTACAGGATGAGATGAGCATACTGCATAGCACCAGTGCAAACAGGAGAGCAATGGGCTCTTTGCAGAAACCCTGCAGAGAGGAGAGTCCAAATCGTGTGTTGTACGGAAGAAGGGTCAGCTAGGGACTATGCTTAAACAAACAGCAGAGGCTCACAAGCTGATGAAGGCTGGGAGCTTGAGACTGCTGAGAGGGAAGAGTCCTCTCTACTGACATGCATCTAAAAAAATCGGTACAGTGCCTTGTAGCAGATGAGGAGGCACTGGAGCCATCCCAGAACGCACCACACGTCAGCACCATCACGAAGCGCCAGCTGAAACCTACTGGAAATGACTTCTGCAAGGCACACAGGCTCACATCTGTCGAGCAGACTTGCTGTGTCAGGGGGCTCGTTGCTAGCCAGAGACTGGGATCTGGCGTGCTGCCACAGACAGCCAAGGCAGCAGCGTACCCTTGCAACAGCGGAGGGTGCACAGCGAGCTGAGGGGAGCGACCATTCCCCACTAATCAGTGCTTGTGACGTTGCATCGGGAGTAAGAGACAGACACTGATAGACTGGAATGCGTGCAGCAGAGGGCAAAGATGATGAACAGGGACATAGAGAATACGCCGTACAAAGAGGCAGAGGACCTGGAGTTTTTGATTGAGAACAGAAGGCTAAAGGGGATGTTGCTGCCATCTTCAGCTACCTAACATAATGGTATAGGGAGAGAGGCAAGGGATCCAAGCTGGAACAAGAAAAATTCTAACTGGGTATTAGGAAGAAAGTGTTCACCATAATAGTAGTTAAACATTGGAAGAGGAGACCAGGGAGCCTGTGAGATCTCCATCTTTGGCGACACTCAGAACTTGACCAGACAAGGCCCTCAGCAAGCTGATCTAGGCTGGCCCTGTGCTTTCAGTGAGATCAGTCACCTCTGCAGGTCCCTTCCAACATGAATGATCTTAAATGATTCTGTGATGCCACATCTTGAGAAAGACATCGTGGGGTTAGAGAAGGTCCAGAGAAAGGCAACCAAAATAATGAGGGGATGAAGCAGCACCTTGCAAGGAGAAATGAAGGCCACAGCTCTTAAGTTTGGAGAGAAAGCTGAGGAAGGAGAATGAATGAGGTCTACCACACTGAAGGTGGTGAATAAACTGAATACAGGACTTCCATTTACCAAACTGGCAATACAAGAATTGAAGAGCGCTCAGTGTAACCAGTGGGACATTGATTTAAAGCAGATCAAAGAGTGACAGGTAACGGTGTTCTGGAACTTGCAGCCATGGATGTTGGAGGAGACAGATTCAGCATGTCCAAGGGACGAGAGACATAGGGATACAGAAAGGGCTGGGCAGGGACGTGATCTATAACAACCCTAATCCAATGAGTGTGGACGTGTGGGACTGCGAAGGGAATGAGCTGCAGCAAGTGGCTGGCTTGTGTGATGTCTCTGAATAGCACCAGCTAATGCCACCACTGGAAAGGGAATATTGGGTCAAAGGACACTGGCCTGAATGCAGAAGAGCACTTCTGGTTTTCCTTGCGCTTACACATTCATCTCAACACTTTCTGAGTAATGACTGGTCTTCTGAAATGCCTGCATCTTTCCAGGATTCATTAAAAGCTAACATAACCTCAGCAATTTCAAAACTTAACTCTCCCCAAACAGTTCAGCACGATCTGCACAGGTTTGCAGGCCTTTACATGCCGTTTAGATTTCTACAACAGCAGCAGTATGTCCAGTATAACCAACTCTTTACATATGCATGCATCCCTACCTCATCATCTTTTTTTTTTTTAAATCTATACTGTACTTCTCAGACTCTTGCATCAAAATCGTTCTCATAACCCTAATAATTAAACAGCTCAGGAATGTCAGCTGCTAGGCTTCTCACACAGGACTCTACCTTTGAAATGAAGACACCTGGTTCATGAATCCCAAATGGGTGGCTTGAATGGTCACTGCCTCCTACGATGCTGAGTCCCAGGGGACCACCTGCTTTTACAAGGTGAATTTCCTTGAGGGAACAAGAAGCAGAGTCAAGGGGAATAAGGGCTATGACACAAGCACCACAAACACTGAAAAACATGGAGTCAGGTATGTTTTGCATGAGTGAGCGCAAGGACAGACAGGACAAGAGGGTTCCCTATCACTTCTCAATGCCCCAATAACGCAGTGGGCCAGCCCTCATCAGACTACCAATTTTTAAAATGAAAAATACCCAAGATCACACTACCCCAGATTCCAACAGACTCACTCACCTCAATGGGATATTGATCCTCCAGGCCTTTAGACTGATGGCTCCTTTGCAGCGAAGGCGTCTCCTCCGGTGGGCTCTCCCCATGGCTGGGAGGCGGTGGTGGGGAGTGCATGCGCACTCGTGGCACGCCTGGTGAGTCTCCCTCGCTGGGCTGCTCTGCACCCTCTCTCTCTACCAGCAGCACGATGGTGGGGGAGGATGCGGTAAGCAGCGCTACTGCCTGATCATGCCTGGCTTCTGTCATGTCTACCCCATTGATCTAGAACAACCCGCAAACTCAGCGTCAGATCATCACCCGAGTATACTCTGGCATTTTAAGCACTTCCCATCTTGCTGGAACACTGCCCCTTCTCAAAACCCTGTTCCCCAGAGCACTCTGTAGCTCACCCCACTCCTTCCTACCTGGCAAAGGGACACAGGCACCTGCTCATTCCCAGCAGACCACAACCCTCTTTCAAGACAGCTTACCAGCCCCTTTCCCACCTTCCCTCTACACCTCCAAGCCCTAGCAGCATCAGTGATGCTCCAGGGGACCGTGAAGACCAAGTACAATGCTCCACCTCCAGGAGCACTACAAACCTAGCTATTGCCCAGACTATGTTGTGGCTCACTCGTTACCAGGAGAGTACCCATCACTCCTCCTTGGCTTTGCAAGCCAGCTTTCCTACTGGGTCACGATAAAACAAGCCCAGAACGTTTCATCAAAGCAATGGGTCCAAAGATCTCAACACGGGAAGAAGACAAAACCCTGCTTCCCAGAAGTGATGCCACAGCACACTAACGTGCCAGAGCATCAGCTGCCCTTGCACTAGGCCATCTGCCCTTAGCAATCAATCTCGAAGCCCAGACACAGGCACCGAAGAGCCTGATCCGATGTGCGACAGGACCTGCACTGGCCACTGGGCTGCTGTCCACCCATGCTGGGCAAGGTCACGGCACTCTGGTGAAGATGGCAGTTTTAAGCCATAAAATGTGTACCCCAGGTATAAAGACTTGGAAGCACTGAGAAAGAGACTTTGTCAGTCCACTGTGACTGACTGGCTGACACAGAAGAAAAACTAGAATTCTTTTGGACAAGAAAACATTATCCAATTTGCTATGCCAAACAATTTCAAGAATACAACTACAGTTGTCTTGTGATATCAGTGAAAGATACAATGCTTCAGACAAATAGGTGCTTCCAGTACATACAGAGAAGCAGCAATGCCATTCATACAAGGCACTGAAGAGAACTCATCTGAAAAACTGTATACAATTCTCACCCTTCACGCACAAAAAAAAATAAAAATCTAGTGTAAGTTAACAAGATGTGCAGAGAAAAGCTGCTATGACAGGCAGGGGAACAGAGAGCCCTTCCTACAAAATTAAGGTTTAAAAGAACTTGCCTAGAAACTCAAAGGACCAGAAAGGATGTGATTGTTCTCCATGAACCTACGAGTGACAGAATACTGAGAAGAGAGCCAAGCTAGAACACCACTGCCAAAAGGGCAAAACTTGCCACGAAAAAGTTGAAGTTGAAAATGAAAAAGCTTATTTTCCTTCGGCTCTGGAAAAGCTTTCCAAAACGAACAATGAGGACACAAAAACAACAGTTCTTAAGATGGAGTTTGATCAGCTTACAAAACAATAACGTGACTTTGTAACAGCCACAGCAAGTGGATTTTGTAGCCTGCTTCCTCAGTGTCCGATTCCTAGAAATACTACACTCACCAGCCCCTCCCAAGAAAGCAGTTTCTGGACGAAGCTGCCTGCACGGAGTCTGACGAGGCTTTGTGCAGAACCTCCACAAATACCACCACCATGCTCACCTGCCCCATTCCATCCACACTCAAGTACGCTACTCCCCTTACGACATGGAAGAAGATAGCCAAGACAGCCCTGTGTTGTGGTGGACATGAACAGGAAGCTCTCGGCCGCACAGCATCTCCTCTGCTCAGAGGACTGCCCTCAGAGGGACACCTCTGGCACCAACCATAGAAGACAAACAGAAGTACGTGAAGGCACGCCAGCCCGCACATGCGTGCAGGTAGAGGAAGGATGTAAAGGTACCTGGCTGCTGAGTGCAAGGGACAGGAAAGATCATAAATTAAACACACAGGTGCGTAAACCTTACCGAAACGCAGATAACAGAGACAAGACTCAGGACACTCACGGATGGATCATTAAAGGAATCATCCACATGGTAACATTAAAGAAGTGGGACCAAAAACTTGGTAATCAATATGCAGAGGAAATCAAGATTATAACGGGTTATCAGAACAGCTCTCACAGGAAAGAGCAAACTTGCTACAGGGAGTTTTAAGGGGGATTGTGGGAATGCGCAAAACTTATTATGGGATGTTTAGCAGAAGGATGGCAGGTGGGAAAGGGGAGTGGCCAAGGAGAAGACGGGAGGAACAAGCATGGGAAAGTGGAGAGGGTGGAGAACAAAAGAGGCTGATCACACCGAAGCAGGCTGCTGGTCAGTGTGCTTGTCTGGCCAAGCCCTGTGCCTGATCACCATAGTCTGCTCCATCTCTTTATCAGACTCTGTATTTACTGTGAGGGTTTGCTCTCTACTCTGGGTAAGTATGCAAGATCTACTAGTAAAATTCCAGTTGGCCTAGCCAGCAAGTGGAATCCAAAACGTGGAAAGACCTAACAGCTGGCCCAGAAACTGGATAAAAGGCTCAGCATCTGACCAAAGAGCCTTGAAGAATTTCATGCTTGGGCCAGAGACTGCAGAGACCTCCAAGCGTATTTGTGTGAGCTGAGTGAGGGAGTATACGTGCATATTCCACCAGCAAACCTTAAACCTGATGAGCCAGAGCGTAGGAACAGGGTTGTCTGTGTTGTTCATGCCCTGTGAGGGCTGTTTGTGTTCATGTGTGTGCCTGCAAAAGTACTGCCCTCCTCCTTGTCTGTGTAAATTTGTGGCCAGCCATGTCTGCAGTGTGTTTCATGTTTGGAATCTGCACTTAGCTTTCCTGATGGCTGGACTTGGGAACAGGAAAAAGTGGCAGCTTTGTGTCCAGCGGACTGGGAAGGGAGGATCCTTGGGTCCTCCCATCTGCCAGATACACCAATTTTTAACAAAGATGACATGCAGAGGAGACTTGGCCCTTCGGTTCTTGTCACCAGATGAAGGCCCAAACGCACTCCACAGACAGACCTGCTGTAGCAGCACGCACTTTTGACTTCACACGTTTCCCCTATGTTATTTTTCTGCAGCTGACAAGATGATGAGAATGGTCAGATGAAAAGTATACGGTGGTACTTCCCCACACTAGCAAGCAGGGACAGGGGAACTCCCCAGGTCAGAGGCATATCATATACAACAGCCCTTGATGGCATTTTACTCATTAACTTCTCCATTAACTGGCAATCACATTGCCTTCCCAGCTTTTGGACAGCTAGTTTTCAGTGGCCTTCATCACTATGTCTCTGCTTAGCAAGAGAACACGGCCAGCCAGTGCAGTGTGGCTATCTAAGTGCCCAGAGGAAGGGAAAGGGTAAATCTCTTAGTGATCAGACTGTTCTCAGTTAGGACCCCCATGTGTCACCTAGTGCTACTACTGTCCTAAATCTCCCCCAGAATCAGTTTTCTTCAGTCTGCTCCCAGTTCTGCCCCACAAAACTCGCTGCCCTTAGCCATTGCTCCAATTCAAGCACCCTCTCTGCTAGATTCCCAACCCACAACTCAAACTCTCCAACACTGACCCCTTGCAGCCCCCTACCCGTGTCTTCCACTACCAAAATGACTCTCAAGACACACCAGAATACAGGGAAAGCTGGAGAGTTAGTAACTGGTTTGTGTCGTGTTAACTTTGAAGAGAGATCTAGGCTGGGCTCTTCAATCCGTGTACTCAAAGCTCCCTTAGGAAAGTAAAAGGAGCTATCCCAGTCCTTCCCCTGCAGAGGAGTCCAGGATGATTTAGAGCACAGGGGAAGAGTATGAAGCTGTGCTGTATTTCTTTTCCTAAGAAAACAAAAATTCTTTGGCAAAGTGAGAACTGAGGCATGACTAGGAGACTGCTGCTTTGGAAACGGGCTTCTGCCCGCTGGGGGTATGAAACCGCCTGTACCCCAACGGGGACCCTCCTGCTTTGCCCACGCAGATACAGGGGAACACACGCAACCTGCACTGCACATCCCAGGAGTCATCACGTCCTGAAAAGCTTGCCAATAAAAATGGGCAGCCACTGCTTCAAAAGAGTTGTGGTGAACAGGGAATGTAAGTGATGCTATGCAGGCACCGCTCTGCGGTGAACACTCTCACACCACCCAGTACCACCGGGCCAGGGCAGCCTCATCGCTCTGACGCAGCGCTAGATTTCCCCAGAGACAGAACGGAACCCACACAGCCACTCATGCATCGCTTACTGCAAGCGGGTATTCTCGAGGACAAACACCACCGAGAAGATATGAGAGGCCTCAGGATCTAACACCACCACTGCACAGGTATCTCACTTAGCAGGGAACCCCACACGCAGGAGAGGCAGAATGGGAACTGCTTCCAGGAGGCACAGCTGTTGCAGAAGCGACCGCCAGACGCCTGCTGCAAGGCACAGAAGCTCTGCGAGTAGTCTCGACTAAGGAAGCGTTCTCCTGGAAGATAATGATTTGTTCCTACTTTCATCGTAACTGAGCACAAGACTTGAGCAGCAGCTGATGCTCAGCACCAAACCTTTTAATTCTACATACACTCCAGCACAGGTAACATCCCCGAGAGCAGGGGACCATGCTCTAAAGCATGGAAGTATTTCCCACCCATGCAATAACACCGTGCTCATCATCGCAGCGCAGTGTGTCAGACGACTAACGGCAGCAAGGCTTTCATCCACATCAAAATCTTACACAGGCCCTGAGACCACATTTTGCAGTCTGCAGACACTGCAGGCTATTACTAGGGAATTAGATCTGCTTTTCCTACGAAGCTGCCCACAGATATAAATAGAGCTGCTAATGGGGGGTGGAGACAGGTTTGACTTTTGACTCTATTCTGAGATCTTGCTTCTCCTTCTTGCCACAGGTAGAGCAAACCAACACCACACGATAGGCCGTGTGCCTGCAATTACGCCTCTCAGTCATGCCTCTGTACCAACGGAGCATCAAAAGATGAGCAGAACCAAAATAATTTAGGCTGTCTGGCAACAATCAGGGTCAGGGCTCAATTCTGGGAGGAGGGGGGGAGCACTAGCAAGGAGGGAGAGATGCTGTACCAGTTCAAGTCTCCTGCCAAGATACGAATGTCAGACCCGGGCCAGAGCTCCACTACAATTTTGTGCCAGAGCAAATACAACACAGCCCCCAGCCTAGGGATAGAGCAGACAGAAGCCAGCACTGACAAGGCTGTATCAGTGTTTACTCACGCCAGCTCTGTGGTAACACGTGCTCTTACCACAACAGCTAGATCAGAAACCCACCACCAGCACCAGGATGCAGGAGCTTTCACTTGGAGGCAGCATGCGAGCTTGGGAAGAGGATGAAGGAGACTCAGCAGACTCTCCCCGCAGGACGGGGAGCAAGTGACATTGCAGAGAGGCTTGAGGTTAGAGGCAGCAGCAAGATCCATACCACTGGCACAAACAGGAAGGGAAACTGGGGCCAGAGTTTCAAATGAGAGCAGAGGGAAGCACTGGGGTGCCGTGCTGTGGCAGAGCCCTCCGAGGCTGTCCTACAAGGCTCTGCAGGGACAACAGGCTAGGGCAGCACTGTCGTATCATCTCTCTCCAGTACAGCCCGGACTGCCTCACGTCGTGTTCCTGTCGGGAAGCACTCACGCAGTGCTTGGGGAAAGGGGAGGCATTAACTGCACCCACCACCAGTCACAGGCAGGGGCACAACCACCAAGATTAAATGCTCTCCCAGCAGGCTCAGGAGCTGAAAAAAGGACCCCCAAAATCCAGCCTCGATGACAGAAAAACAGCCCTTGTACGAGGAAAAGCGGGGAGCTCAGTCAGACCCCTTCCCTCCACACCAGCACTCACCGAGATGACCCGATCTCCTACGTGCAGGATGCCGTCACGATGGGCTGCACCACCCTCTGCAATCCGTGAGATAAAGATCCCCTGAAACACAGTCACAAGGGTCAGAGCAGCCCGTGCTTCCCCTCACCAGGGCTTGGCTTTCCAGAATCTTTCCTGGACACCGGGCAGGTTTCAGCCCCTTCCCCTTCGCAGACCCCTCCCCTGCACTGGCACTTCCCATTTGTTCCCCACTCCACACAAGCCCTCTCCTGCTTCTAGAGCCATCTGCAAAACCCCCAGCTGCAAGCAAAGACTTCACATGGCTGAGAGCCCAGAATATGTGTCAAGAGGACAGAAGCAAGATTAAATGTCGCTGGCAGGGATTGTGAGCCCCAGCCCCACCTACTTCTGAACTTCTCTCCTTCCCTGACGTAAGAGTAGATTCTGGCCCACCAGCCCAGGGCCATGCTGCACTGCTGCGTGCCCACAGGTGAGGAAGACCCTGTGCTGCTCCCACAAGCAGTGCCGAGACTCGGGGACGAAGCACCTTCCTTCCCAGGAAACCATTACTGACCGTGTCGCCAGCCCGGTAGGGTGTGGAGCCTTTGCCACCAGCGATGCTGAAGCCCAGGCCTTTCTCGTTGCGCACGAGGCAGGTGGAATATCGCTCTGTGGGAGGGACCCCCTCGGGGCGTTCTGGGAAGCGCAGACCACCTCGCCTCTCCCGAGGGCTGTAGTCATCCTCCGGGCGCAGCGGAGTGACAGTGATGGCATTCTCCGGCTCCACCATCCGCTCCCGCAGAACTGTCATGGAGACCGAGCTTCCCGAGCCACGCAGAGCTTCCACCGCCACGTGATGCTCAGCACAGTGCAGGGACACGCCGTTCACCTGGGGACAGACAGAGCCAGGTGCCACCCTTACTTCCATGGGGAGTTCTTCCAAGAGCTGCACAGATGGCTCCAACCTTAGCCACTGCTGCCCAGCGGAAGCACAGCTCGCTCCCTGCAGAGCCCGGCCAACGCCTTGTTCCCACAGGAGCTCCCACAGACCTCACCCGTGGCCCGCAAGCGAGTCTGTGCTGTGGGAGGCTCCCACAGCAGTGCTGCCCGTCCCAGGCCAGGGCAGCCCCCACCAAGCACAGTGAGGGCCCGTCCAGAGGAATTCTTCCCCTGCAGGGAGCTCCAACACCCCTATCACCTGCATCATCCCTGCAGGCAGCAAACTCCCAGACAGACAACCACCCACCCAGAACCATCTCCCCTAATCAATCTCAGCACAACTCAGGTCGACAAGAAGGACATCTACCTCCTCGTACCCTGAAACATCCATTTCCTTCCCCTCCACGCAAAACCAGTGAAGTACTTGCAGT